TTCAAAATAAGGACTGCACAATTAACCAGGAATTAATACTTTCAAACCAGGAACTGAACGTTTTTCAAATTTTGTTACATAGTTTTATTAGATTTTGTTTTTCCTAAGGGACTGTGGAAATGTAAGCCTTGTTGTTGATAAGAATATGTTATAGAGGAGGCCAATTATTGTTTGTAAATTAAGGTAACTGCCACCAACGTGAGGTCTTTGAGGTACCACCGATGAGATCTGGCTCTACAGACGCAGATTAATGGAGATGAGATGGTCTTAAACAAAAGTTAACAAGTTTATTTTATACAAAGCGTATGGTTGCAGGCTGTTAAATAACTTATAGAACTTTAAATATAACTTAGTTTGTAATACAGTCCTCTTCTAGATGACACAGCTCGTGATTAACTTTTACTGAGGTGAAGCACTTTAGTAAACAATGTTTCCTAACATGAATAGCCTTCCAATTTGATCTTTCCCTGATCAAATCTGATCTCTAGTCCTTCCTCGACTAGGGATCTTACAAGCTTCCTTTAGTCTACTTTAACTAAAGAAACTGGTCAGGTTTCTCCCTTCAGCCCTCCTAGACTGAAAAACCTCTAGCTATTCACACCTCTCTCCCAGGCTTTTCAAGCCTCTACTCTCACACACTGACTGACTCCAACTCCAACAGAGTCTAACTGCCCCTTTTCAAAAGACGCAGACAACCTCTCCTCCCCGGCTCCGCCCACCTCCCACCAAGCTAGCCCGCCCGGCCCCCCTGGCAACGCTCCCTGCTGGTCCAAACCAGACAACTCCAGTCTTAGCTACCATTACAAAACACAAACATATACTCTAACAGTTAAACATATACATAGTATCAATGACTTCTGTACAGATAGGAATTCCAAAAGCTGGAAAAATCCAAAATCCCAAACCCTTGTGGTCCGAGGACTTTTGGATAAGGGATGCTCAATGTGTACATGTAGATGGGACAGGCAAGCAACGTTTCTCTTTGGTTCCTTCTGGTTCTTCCTTTCAGAGCAATCCATTAATATTGTGAAGGAGCTGAAAGACGTTGAGGTGATTGAGCCAGCGGAAGCCAGGTTTGAGTGTGAGATCTCCATTCAGTCGGTGAAGCCTCCCAAGTGGTCCTTACGTGGGGAGGTCCTCCAAGCCAGCAAGGACATTTTGATAGAGCAAGAAGGGAAGATCCACCGCCTGATCTTGAGAAAGACTGACGTGGACATGACCGGCACCATCCAGCTTGCCATTGGCAAATCCAAATCCTCAGCCAACCTGGTTGTGAAAGGTAAATTGCTAGTTGCTTTGTAGTTGAAATTACGATGGATTGTTCCAGGGCTTGTGTACGTGACTCCATTTTGAAACAGATATGGCCAGCTAAATTTATGTCCTTCTACCTGGGTAAAATGCATTGCGATTTATTCCTTTTATAGCAGTGGTTCTCAACCTTCCTAATGCTGCGACCCCTTAGTACAGGTCCTCATGTTGTGGTGACCCCCAACCATAACATTATTTTTGTTGCTACTTCATAACTTTGCTACTGTTATGAATTGTAATGTAAATATCTGATATGCAGGATGTATTTTCAATCACTGGACCAAATTTGGCACAAATACCCATACGCCCAAAATTTGAATACTGGTGAGGTTGGGGGTGATTGATTTTGTCATTTGGTAATGCTGGAGTTGCTGGGATTTATAGTTCACCTAAAATCAAAGAGCCTTCTGAACTCCACCAATGATGGAATTGAATCAAACTTGGCACACAGAATTCCCATGACCAAGAGAAAATACTGGGAAGGTCTGGTGGACATTGACCTTGAGTTTTGGAGTTGTAGTTCACCTACATCCAGAGAACACTGTGGACTCAAGCAATAATGGATCTGGATCAAACTTGGCACAAATACTCAATATGCCCAAATGTGAACACTGGTAGAGTTTGGAGAAAATAGACCTTGCCATTTGGGAGTTGTAATTGTTGGGATTTATAGTTCACCCACAATGAAATAGCATTCTGAACCCCACCAATGTTAGAATTGGACCAAACTTTACACAGAACCCCCATGACCAACAGAAAATACTGTTTTCTGATGGTCTTTGACAACCCCTCTGACACCCCCTCACGACCCCCACAGGGGTCCTGACCCCCCAGGTTGAGAAACACTGTTTTATAGCATCAAGAATATGCTATATTGTGGCTCTTCAATCATTTCCAACATATGGTGATTCCAAGATGATGCTATCATAGGATTTTCTTGGCTAGCATTGTCCAGGAATTTGCTTCTCAGGCTGGGAAAGTGTGTCTTGGTTGGGGTTTTATGACAAAGTGAGGATTCAAGAGTCTTAATCTCTAGAGTAGGCATGGGCAACTTTGGCACTCCAGCTGTTTTGGACATCAACTCCCACGATTCTTTAGAGCCAAAACACCTGGAGGGCCAAAGTTTGCCCATATCTGCTATTAGTCCAATGCTCAAATCACTAAGTTATGCTTGTTCTCCCCAATGGAGCTTCACGAACTAACATTCAATGCAGAGGAGAAAAAACAATGGATGTGGATGGGAGAGAATGTAAACAAGGGGAAGAATATTCTGTTTATTTTAGTATGCATGCTATAAATTTCTGTCTATAGCCTCCATGCTGTCTCCTGCTCCCTTAGTGATGGAAGCATCTGCATTGAGCCAAGGGTTGAAATGGATAGATAGGAAGGAAAGATGAAGGTCTATCTCTTCCATTCATTGTTCCACTCATCAGTTGGCATTGGCTGTCTCTCCTCTGTGACCCTTGTAGATCTCCAAGTGACCATTACCCGGCAGCTGGAGGACAAGGTGGTGATGGAAACCCACTCGGTGGTCCTCTCTTGTGACTTCAAGCCTTCCCCAAAGACGGTGGAGTGGTACAGAGACCATACCCTCATCGAGGCCTCCGACAGGTTTAAGATCAAGAGGGAGAAATACTCGGCGGAGCTCAAAATCCTGAAGCTGAATGTCGGCGATTCTGGTGTTTACAAATGCAAAGCTGGAAGCACGGAAACCAAAGCCACGCTGACTGTTTTAGGTATGTAAGAAGCAATGCTGTGTATGTGTGTGTAATTGCCTTTGCTTATTCATTCACACAAAGAGGAATGGGTTGAGAGTTTTTGGATGCATCTATACTATAGAAATAATGCAGCTTGACTCCACTTTAACTGCTGTGGTTCAGTGCTGTGCAATCCCGGAGTTGTAGTTTGGTGAGGCTGTAGTACAGAGAAGAAGACTGACAACTCCTATGATTCCATAGTTATTAATCACAACAGTTAAAGTAGTGTCAAACTGCATTAATTCTAAAGTGTAGACGTACCCTAACTGCCGTGGCTTATTTCTATTGAATCCTGGAGTTGCAGGTTGGGGAGGTATTGGCACTCTTTGGCACAGAAGGCGAAAGACCTAGTAAAATTACAACTCCCATTGTTCTGCGGGAGAGGCAGAAACTGGTTGTAATTGGGTTTGTATTGTTTTATTGGTTTTATCGGTTTTAGGGTTGTAATGCAGGAATTGTTGTTTAACTGTTCAACTGTTTAACTGTTTAATGTATTGTCGAAGGCTTTCATGGCCGGAATCACTGGGTTGTTGTAGGTTTTTCCGGGCTATATGGCCATGTTCTGGAGGCATTTTTCTCCTGACGTTTCGCCTGCATCTATGGCAAGCATCCTCAGAGGTAGTGAGGTCTGTTGGAAGTAGAAAAAGGGGTTTATATATCTGTGGAATGAGCAGACCGTGCAAAAAGAATCTGCGAACCCCACCTCCTCCAAGATGAACTGAACCACCTCAACTGGGCTCTCCAGGCCAATGGAGACTCCACCTCAGACATCAGAAGAGCTGCAAGACCAAGAACAAGCCACGAGAATAAAGACAAAGATCCACCCAGAGGAAAAGTGTTCTTGCCATACATCAAGGGAACCACTGACTGCATAGGAAAACTGATGAGGAAACACAACATACAAACCACTTACAGACCCACCAAGAAAATCCAACAAATGCTACATTCAGCAAAGGACAAGAGGGATCCTCTCACCTCTGCAGGAGTCTACAGTGTACCATGCAGCTGTGGACAAGTCTACATAGGGAGAACCCAAACACAAATCAAGGAACATGAAAGGCACTGCAAACTACTCCAACCAGAGAAATCAGCCATAGCAGAGCACCTGATGAACCAACCTGGACACAGCATTTTATTTGAGAACACAGAAGTGCTGGACCACTCTCACAACCACCATGTCAGACTACACAGAGAAGCCACTGAAATACACAAGCATGTGGACAATTTCAACAGAAAGGAGAAACCATGAAAATGAACAAAATCTGGCTACCAGTATTAAAAAACTCTAAAATTACAACAGCAAACAACAGAGGGAAAACAATCAGGGACATCTAATCACCTCTCAACAAAAGATTGCCCCAGGCACTGCCAGGCCATCAAATGCTAATCAAGGTGGTCTGTTGGAACATTCACACCTAGTTCCAACACACAAGACTTCTTTGCTCTGCAGGTTCCCCCCAGGCACTTCCAAGCCATTAAATGCTAATCAAGGTGATCAGCTGAAACATTCACATCTAGCCCCAGCAGACAAAAGTCCTTTGTCTCACCCTGGTCATTCCACAGATATATAAAACCCATTTTTCCTACTTCCAACAGACCTCACTACCTCTGAGGATGCTTGCCATAGATGCAGGCGAAACGTCAGGAGAAAAATTGCCTCCAGAACATGGCCATATAGCCCGGAAAAACCTACAACAACCCTGTTTAACTGTTTAATTGATGTTATTTTGTTTTACTACTGTTATGTGATGCTGGCATCGAATTGTGCCTTTGTAAGCCGCCCTGAGTCCCCTCCGGGGTGAGAAGGGCGGCGTAGAAGAAACCGAAATAATAATAATAATAATAAATATTATTCCTTACCTAAGAAAACCCTATGAAATTAATGGGGTCACTATAAGACATCTTGAAGGAACACTAGAGATGGGAGAAGGCTCTCATCAGGAAGGAAAGGCTCGTATGAAATCATCAAATTTGTAGTTTCATTAAATGTTTAAGGTTCTCTGCCAGAGTGATCCTATAGCTCATTAAAAAATAAATCCTGGGATCCTGCAGGATGCAGTTTTGGCAGTTATATCAAAGTGATGTAACTTGGTAATGAGAAAGAGTCCTTAGCTGAAAATGTGGATATGGATGTCCTGCTTGGGATATCAATCCTTTCCTAATTTTCTGAAATAATTACAGTGGGCCCTCCAGATCTGTGAATTCCATTGACCATGGAACATCATTCCCCATGTCATTGAATGACAGTGATGTGTGGAGACACAGAATTGTGTGCATTCACATGGCTGATATTTAATAATATGAGTTGCAATTATCCATGTTTTTTCATATCTCTGTGGGCTTCCAGAACTCAAACCTCATGGCAGTCTCACTGTATTTGCTTATGGAAGGGAGACAACAGCAGGAAGCCGAAGAATGTGCCAAAGCACTAATTATGCCTCATTCTTTGCTCTCCTTGATGAACAGAGCGCAAGGTGGAGATCACCAAACACTTGCAGGATGTGGAAATCGAGGAGGAGAGCTGTGCGGCCTTCTCCTGTGAACTGTCTGAAGACACTGAAGATGTGGAATGGTTCCTCAACGACACACATCTCTTTCCCAACAACTTCAATGAGATCAAGAGCCTGGGCAAGATTCACAGCCTGACGCTAAAACACGTCATGCCAGAAGACTCGGGGACAGTGACCGTCAAGGTGCATAAGAAGGTCTCCGAGAGCGCACGGCTGAAGGTGAAAGGTGAGAAGTTGTCACCTTTGTCTGTTTCTATTTTTCTGTATTGCTTTTCAAAATGCTCTACTTGTGTTACCAAATGAAGCCCAGGAACCCTCACCCTGATGCCTTGGAAGAATTATTGGAAATAAATCAATCTTTGGGTGAGAAACCACAGGTGTTGGGGTCACATATAGTCCACCTTCATTGTGGGGATTCCAAGATGACCATGTCTCCTTCCTTAGGATTGTTTGGTCTTTCCTCAACTTTTGTATATTCTTTTTTTCCTTTCTGAAAGGTTAATATTTTTCTCTTAAGGCTTTACTGACAATAAGAGCTTAAACCTAAAATATGCATGTATTTATTTGGTTGGAGTTACACTGAAAGCACACATCTGTTCCAACTTACATACAAATTCAACTTAAGAACAAACCCACAGAAACAATCTTGTTCATAACTTGGGAACTGCCTGTACTGGTAATAAGAGCTTAAAGCTAAAATATGCATGTATTTTTTCTCCCATCCTTTTGCCTTATGTTTAATTCTCCACATGAATATGGCCTCCATCAACATTCTTTCAAAGAGGTTCTCCAAGGATGCATCTGAACTGCAGAATTAATGTAGCGAGACTTTAAACCATTGTGGCTCAATGCTATGGGATCCTGGGATTTATAGTTTGGTGAGGTACCAACACTTTTTTGGCAGAGATAGCTATAGACTGTCATACACCAGAGTAGGAACACCTCTGACCTTAAACACCACAACAGCTTGGTAAAATTGGCAAGCAGTTTATTGAAGAATTTAAGTAGGCAAAGCAATAAAATTAACAAAAACAGTAAAGTTTCAAAGCAAAGGTTATTCAATGACCTTCAAGGTAAAACAAGGTCCATAGGTATATACATCCATAAAACAAGACAGCATGAAAAATCCAATAAATAAACCAGGACCTTGGCAAAAACTTGGTATAGGATACTAAGAACACTTGAAAACAAGACCGTCGTGAAATTCCAACATTGACCCAATTGAGGCAACTCATTC